CATATAGTCAATTTTCATTCTTGACAATGCTATGATTTGGGACGTTTAATGATATCATTTATATATATTAGTGTTTGTCTCACATCTTTCAATTAATCACTATTGCAAATGCATATCATAAGGATTTTTATCTAATTCTGCTAAATTGTCAATATAAAAATAAGAATTAATAGAATGACTTCTTTATTATTATCAAAATAAATGATGTAGTAATACATTAACTCAAACCCATCCAAACATGGTTAGATCATAGGCATCTACACTAATAAGTGTTGCATGCTTGAATAATGTTTAGGAATAAAAATGTGTAAATCAATTAAGAAATGTGCATTGATATGAAAATATTGTTTTAAAATGTTCGATTTGATTGTTGGATTTTATTGAATTCTGAAATTGAGCATCAATGTAAGAAGAATAATCACATTAGCATGACATCATTTGAGCAATTTTATGGGTTTATCGTCCGAACATCCTCACGAGACATAAATCATCCACTAAAGGTAACCTAAGGATTTAAAGACTTATTGCTTATGCTAAATGCAATGATAATTCTTACAAAAGTGAGTTAGGTTTTTGTTTTTTTAATTTTGCTCGAGAACTAACAAAGTTTAAGTGTGGGGGTATTTGATGAGTGCTTAATTAGTATGATTTTTATGCTATAGTACATTGAACTTTTTAGTATTTATTGTATTATGTTAGGTAAACTAAGAGCAAGAAGATGGTTTCAAGTTTTGTAAGAAAAATGATGAATCGGAGTCAGCAAAACTAAAACCAAAGTAAAGAAAAGAGAAGTCACCAAAAAAGATGAGAAGAGTAACAAGGCCATGTCAAATTATAAAGGAAAAAACTATTGGCTATATGATATCAAGAAAGAAATCATGTGGATTACATAGCAAAGAAGTCTATATGGGCAATAGCATTCCACATAAACAAAGGAAGAAATCCCATACTATCATGTGTGTGTCAAAGCCAAGCATAATCCAAAGGAAAAGAAGATGCAACACGAGAAGTAGGCATTCAATACGAGTTTATAGTGAATAGTCGCATGCCCATGTCTTACCAACATAAAAAGTCTACAAAGACAATAAGGAAGTAATACGAAATGAAGAGTAAAGGCACACGATCATTTGCCTCTAGTTAGAAAATCATGTAATACCAATTCTTTAACCTTAAAATCATGTAACATTAAACAATAAATCATGTAACTTTATTTTATTTAACAATCCATGTGGCCATATGGGATCGACACCTAAGTGATGTAACCCTAGTTTTAGTATAAATAGTGATGCTAAGGTATTATTTCAAGATTCCAACTCTCGGTAGCTACCATAGATAGAAAACTCTCTCTTTGTAATTCATTATGAACAACTAACATTATTCTTAGTTGAATCAAGTTGAATCTTTTGGTTAAATTACTATCAAATTACGAGTTTTATTTCTAAAATTATCGTGTTTGAGTATTTTATGTTATTTTATATGATTGGTTTATAGTTATATGATTAAATTGATTAGATTGCACGCTATTTGTTTGATCATATTAATTTATTACTAGTAAGTATTCAAGTCCAAGTAATTGCTTATCTAAACTTGCATGTGGTAGTAACTAGGGATTGATGATTATTTTTTCCATTTTTTATTAAGTCCCTTAGAAAATATAGAACTAGGTTACATCTTCTCTAGCATTAGGATGGTGAGCTTTACCTATCTTTCTCTAATTAATGCTATTACTAGATTAAATCTATCTAGCACTTAGTAGGTTGTTCAGTAGCTAAGGAATTAATCGATAATGTATATTCGATTAATGACTAAGGAAAGACTTGGGACAACATACATATTGTTGTCCTACGATGAATATTCATGTTTAGGATAAGTTAATTATTTAATCGATAATTAGGGAGCAAACCAAAAGTAGATGATGAAGTTTAACTAAGGATTCTTTAATATTTTTATTTCTTATTACTTTAATTGCTCACGGATATGTCAAACACAAAACCCTCTTTTTTACACTACAAGACCACTCAATTAAAAGAAACAATCAATTAAGCCTTCTTCCTATGCGTTCGACCCTTACTTGTCTTAATTACATTATTGTGATTGAAAGGTCTATAAGGATAATATAAATAACTAATTTAATAGTGGCACGACATGTCATCACTTACCTAAGATGAACAATCTTCCATCAACCCCGCCCTCTATAACATTCAACCAAAGACTCCATATTTAGAAAAACCTATAATTCTTATGACCAAACTAGCATTATGATAGAGGAATTAAACTACAAATTTGGGATCCTAAAAGCGATAAACAAACTAAGTCAATTTTAGAAATTTAGCCCATAATTGCATTTATAGGTCTCTAAAAGATTTAAGACTTAATTCTTCGAAATATAAGAGATAGGGATACAAGTTTCATGAAGGAAGCAAACCATAATTCAATATTCATCTAGGTCATTTAAGCTGATTACTCGAGGAGACCCATTATGGATAGCTTCTAGCCGTGTATTTTAACACACACGACTATGTATTTTCCTTTTGGTCATGTATCACAACACACACGACCATGAGTGCAATTTTCCTCTCTCGGTATACATTCTTTTACCTCTAAGATAGGTTTGAAGGGGTTTTAAAATGTGGGATCACAATTTTCATTAGTGAAAACACATAATAATGACTTAATCAATCATTTTTAAGCCACTTCACATCTATTGATCCTCGAACATACATATTCATTACAATGTAACACAATATGAAGCATTATGAAAAAAATTCAAATATTTACCTCTTAGTCGAATGTTTCATCCATTAATCTAGAGAAATTTTCCTTCATTATTCATTCTATACAAGTAATCGTTCGGACCTAATCTTCCATAAAATTCATTTAACTTAGTCTTTAGGTTAACTAAGGTTAATGGCCTAGTCTACTTCCCACACGAGCCTCTCATAATTCTTCATTTTAGTGCATTTAACTTAAACTAACCAAGGTTAAAGTCTCTAGATCTCATGATCTAACCATCCATTCAACAATCCCTTAATTTTAGGACTTGGCTAAATGGCCCTATAGTAAATAATTAAGTGATTTCTTCTATATAAACCATAAAACATCATTACTTAATAATAGTTAACCATCATTTAATCCATAATTCATACACATACACATTTTACTCTACTCTCTTAATTGGACAAATCTATCAACCCTATCTAGCCTTTCAATTCCATCAATTTCCTCTTTAGTTTTAAGTTAAAACATGGTGTACACCTTTCATCAAATACCATAGTTGCATAAATTTTATACTACACAATCTTCCTCTATTCATTTTAGTCTTCACCAAATGGTTCATCCCAATGAACCCATTCCTTAAGCTTTTCCTTCTCCCATTCAATCACTCGAGTACTACCAATAAATCAATAATCATACAATTTCACATACACCACGAAATTTTTAATTCATAACAAATTAACAATTAATCATTCAAAGTGTTAAACTACTTGTAATGCAAGTAAGATCATGCTTACCCATCATCATCACAATGTTCAATCAATCATCAATTACACAAACCATACATCAATTGAACATAAATCATTCAATTGCATAATTTTAAACCCTAGGTTTCTAAGAACACGGTTTCACCCATTCATGATATAATCATCCTAAGTCTTATAGGAAGTTGAAGTTACACTTATCTTAGATTGTTCTGAATGAAATCACCTTAAAAACCACCCAAAATCACCCCTTTTTTTCTTGTCCAAAATTTCAGCCAAAACAACTCTTCTCCCTCTTAGTTAATTTGCTCCTCTTTTTGGCCAAGTTTACCTCCTTTGATCAATTCTAACTTCTTCCTTTGATCAATCTTGGTTCTCTTTAGCTTTCTCTCTTGTAATTTTGGTCTCTCTTGCTCTCTTTCTCTCGAAGATGGTTGATGAAGAAGTTTTTTAAGCTCAAATGGAATGTTCCCCTTCTTATTTCCTTCTCCCATCATTTTTTTTGAACTAAAATGCCCTTAATGAGATATATGCTCTAAAATGGGTATTTTACACTTAGACATTTTAATTTAGGTGAAACACCAAATTAAGACATTATTATTATTATTATTATTATCATTTTTATTATTTCTAAATTAATACCTATTTAGGTCATTAATTACATTTTAAATTCTAAGTTACACATGTATGAAAATCACTTAATTAAACTATATCTTCTAATCTTTCACTTGTCATTCACCTTATTATTTACACAAAACTCTTAATAAACATTCAATGTGCAATAAAAAACGTATCATAAAAAATACAAGCATGACATGAACATAATTAACAAAGAAAATATTCACCTAAAGAATAGAATTTAATTTTGCACATTACAAGTTTTTCTTTAGCTACATCATTTTTCTCTATTGTTTTTTACTCCATCGTACCTAAAAAGTACTAGGGAGACTTGGGGGGTTTAAGGATTGATGATTGAACTTTTGCTTCGAGTGCGGTCTATGTAAGCTAGAATGTATATAGAAGTTAATGTTTTAGTTGAACTTCCTTTGAGGATTTGGGTAGGTTCAAGCAAAGAATAAGGTTTTTGGAAATGTATGGAGTATGAAAGGAATTTATATACTATAGTTATGTGGTTTAATTGGCAATTCTTTTAATGCTTATTAATACTTCCATCTCAAATCGGAAAGTTAAAAATGGTATGCTCCAATTGGGAAGAATACATTTTAGAATAACATTCCAACTCATAATGTAGTAGAAACAAAAAAGAACGGCTTTCATACTTGGAAGAAATAAAAAAGTTTGGCGAGTAGGTTAAAACATTTTGGCATTTGATGGCAAAATAATGGGAACAATAAAGGAAAGGCTAAATTTTAAGAGGGTAATCATGCGGATATTGCAATTATGGAAATGATATAGGTACCGCATTAACAAAAAATTCCAAGGTTGTTTCAAACTCGGTTACAATGTTGGTAATAGTAGATACGTAACGAGATAAAAATACGGTGATGGCTCACAAAGAAGATGGGGAGAATGCTTTATAAACGAAGTTACGTATGGGAGGGTGTTAACAGATTTGCTATTCTAGATAACTTGATTGATAAGGATTCCAATGATAAGGATTCTAGTGAGAAACATCTAGTAGATAAGGATGAAACAAAGATAGGTCCACATGCTAAAAGAGATCGGGCTACGATAAATGAGAGTAACAAAGAAAGAAGGCTAGAACCTATTTCATAAGTCAATAAAACACAAAGCAATGAAAAAGTAGCTTCTTGTAAGATAGATGATTCATTTATTTTGACATATTTGAATATTATTGAAGGGCATAGGATCTGTGTTTGACATTAATGTAAGCACCAACAGGATTACTAAACTCACAAAAATCTATGGATAATATATAAGAGGAATGGAAGCCTAATGAGGAAGTGCAAAAATTATATTAGAGCCTCTAGAAGAATACTAAGAAAAGATGCCCGAAACCTATTAGCATGATGAAGACGAGAGCAACTACTAGAACATTAGGTAGGGATACCTCTATTAATTTATAATGGCGAGTGTTAATATGGAATTAATATGGAATGCTAGGGGAGTAGGAAATAATGCTATTGTGGATTATCTTAAACTATTTAAAACTAAGAATAATCCAATTCTTATAGTCATTTTGGAACCTAAATTAGATGGTAGTCAATTAGATAAAATAGCAAAAAAGTTAAAATATGGGTATTATATCATAACAATCTAGTTAATAATCCGGTATGGATTTTCCGAAATGATATGATTATTGTTAATTATATGGATTTTACTAGTGAGGTGATAATAGTTTCAATGAAATATGGTGATTGGTGGACTACCGTATGTACCTTTTGGTACACAAAATGGCCTAGAATGGAGTGTCGTAGCTTATGGAATGACCTTTAAAATCTATTTGCTATAGTCACTAGGCCTTCGATAGCAAGAGCGAGACTTTAATGTTATTGCAAATAGTATAGAAAAGTTTTAAGGTAGCGGCTACAATTTCACTACTAAAAAAACTATTAAATAGCAATGAAAATCAATGATAAATTTAAGTTTGTTGCTAAATAATGATGAATTAACAAACGAATTATGATTGTTATCAAACTTTGAATTTCGGGGATGGAATATCGACAGATTAGTGATGTTCTTAATTTTTCACTAAATATAGCGATAAAATATCATGAGTATTTTAGAGATGATTTAGCAAGAAAATTGTGAGAGAAATCGGTAAAAAATTATGAATTCCATCACTATTTTTTTATTTACAATTACCGATAGAATTTCATTGCTAATTGCAAATTTTCCTCACAAATTAGCAACAAAAATTTCATGGCTAATATTGAAAAAAAAATAAAAAGCGAGACTCGAAAATTTAAAATCAATGCCGAGCATAAGTTTTCATTGCTTATTAGCGATGGATGAGCGACGAAATAACATCCGTCTCTAATCCGAAATCCCTAAATGATAGTTCTCCTTTCTTCTTCTTTCTGTCCCTCTCCTCTCCTAATCATTGCCTATAATCCCCACCCTAAACCACCATAAAACCTCTCTCCTCTACTTCTAAGAATCCCCACCCACCCCAAAAAGTCACAAATTTTCTCCTTTGTTTCTATCTCCTCTATCATCTCCAAATATAAGTTCTCTTTCTCTTTTATCCTTTCTTGTATATTTTCTTGAAACATTTCAATAGTTAGCTTCAAAAGTTGAAACATTCACAAATTTGCCTCGAAATTAACATTTAAGAAAATTAGAGATATACAAAAAAAAAAAAAAAAGAAATTAGCAAAATATTTGTTAATATGGAAGTGGATATGCAGTACTTGCTTGCACATGCGTTTACTAATGGTCCTGAAAGTGAACTTGCAGCAGTAATGGCTAACTAGCTATTATTGCTCTTATGGGTAAACTAAATTTCACTCCTATACACATATTCCTATTATATCTTCCATATTAAACAATTTCAATTATATTATTGAAACAATAAATCCAAAAGTTATTATACAGTAATTTCATTATTTATATTTTTCATCGATGTTCATCTAGGCGACATTGATTTAAATTTTTTGGTTTATTGTCCCAATATTTTAACACGTAAGGCCATTAGACATATATGTATATATATTCTACAATTTGGGTTAGTACCAATTTTAAACATTGAGATTTTTTTAATGTTTTCCCTTGTCACACACATCCCAACATGTACAAATTTGATGGCCAGAGCTAACTCTAACTATACCAATAAATAAATGATTAAATTTAATTATTTAGAAGATAATTGACCCAATCAAAACCTAAATGATGATTAAAGGTCTCGTATGTTGTTAGACCTGTTACTATTATTTATTAATATCTTATTTTTTATTTATTTATGAACTAAACTGAGAAATAAATGCTCAGCAGCAGCCCCATTAAATTTGTATTAGCTCAGTTCTAGTCTAATTAACCAAAACTAGAACATAAAGTTCACAAAATAGAGATGATGATGATGATTATTATTATTAATTAATTAATTAATTAAGGGAATCAGATTTATTGAGATCTACGCTCATGAGAAATAACTCGGCGTTTGCTTCACGGAGAAGCCAGTTTAAAAATTTCAGTCAAGAGCTCTACTGTTTCCTTCTTCTACTACTATAACAGAATCAGAATCTTCAGAAGCGACATGCGTGTTTATGGAGTAATGCTGTTGAAGCTTTGGCTCTGTACCTCTGGCTAGAGCTACACAGTTTTATTATTTGGTTTCTTCTTTTTTCTTTGCTGTCTCTTTCTAAGTTTCTTTACATTTTTTTTTTCACTCCACCTCTAACTGTTATGGTTGTTTCGTCTCCTTCCTCTCATCCCTCATCAATTTCTAGGTTTTAACTCTCTCTCTTTGAATTTTTTTTTAATATATATTTTGAAACATTCCTAAGTTTTTCTGTTTGTTTACCTGGAAAGTGTAGAAAAATGAAACAAATTTGATTGCGACATTTTCCATTACTATATTCTCTGTTCGATTAAGCAAATTTAGTAGTTTAGTACATTTTGGTTAATTATTTTTCTCCTACATTTAATTTTCCCAATCACATGGCTAGCACATCTGCATCCCTACTGGTATTGTCCCCGGCTATGGAGGTCCCTTTGGTGGTTTCTTCTGCTCTAGGGAGCTCTTCCGGGTCTGATATTGACCGAACCATACGGCTCATTAATAACAAGTACGTAATAAATTTTATATGTGATAATTAATTTTATATTTTTCATGTATTATTTGAGTAATTAATTCACTTATTTCTTTTTATTTTTTGTGTTCAATAGTTTGGTTTCATCAAGTAAGTGCTCTAATTGGATCACCATGATTTTCAAGGTGTGGTTGGACATCACTATCTCAATGTGGAAGCTCTGTCTTAAGTAGACGAAAGATTTATACTTTAATGAATTTAGGAAAACATATTAATTATTTATTTTTATTACATTTAAAGTATTAATTTAACATGAAATGTACTAATATTAATTTTTTCTTCATGTAAAAGTATTTTTTTTTATGAGATTCAGCCATGGACGGATTGATTAAGACTAATTGGGAGAGTTTGAGTTTTAAACCCGATATTAGCTAGTGTCTCGGAACCGCATGTCGAAGATAAGTAATGTTAGTGCTAGCGTATTCGAGCATACGAGGGTCTATCTATGTGATTAAGCATGCTTGAATGAATAGTAAATCCTATATCTATTGTGTTATAAATTAATATTTACATTTATTACATCTCATATTATTATGTCTACTTATTTTTTCACAAGGACTTGAGTCATAACCCAAATCCTTTCGCACTCACAAGCAAAGAGTTAGGTCATTTATCCATAGACGGTCCTAGATAATAATGTTAAGTCTTTTATTTTTATAAATATACATCTATCAATATAATTTAAAAAATAAATTTATGATTTTATATTACAATTATTTCAATTACGTAAGAGCATGTGGAGTCATTACAAGAAGCAACATGCAAGAGGGTGATTCATCATTTCTAGATGTTGACATAGCCAAGATATATCTCAATGTTGTAGGAGGAGAAAAGAAGCAAAAAGTGTACAACCTCATATCACGGGCATCTAGTATTACTCCTATTCCAGCACTGACTCATCCTTTGCCACATTACGGTACCTCGATGGTAATGTTTAGGAGGTTAATATCTAATGTAAAGATAAGATCTTAGGGATGTAGGTTGACTATGCTCGAGCGATCCTAGGAGCAGGGGTATAAATTCTAGTATCTATGAAGTTAGATGGAGATGATGCGAGTAGGTAGCATTACGAGAGCCGAAACGAGACTCAATCCCTCATGCTGACCCATTCATTACCTAAGAGTCGACCTTTCCTCTCTATAAATAGTGGTTAGAAGATAATGTAAGAGATGATGATGATGAGGACTAACTTTCTTATTTTTCTTCTTTTTTTAATTTTTTTAATGTTTTTATACACTTGAACACATTTATATATTTATTTGATGTGAACTTATATTATTTTAAATTTATTAAATAATATTTTCTTTTATAATATGTTATTTTTAGTTATTTTCTACTACCACAAACATTAAATGGCTAATAGTTTATAAAAAAATTCCTTTATTTAGTGACGGATCAATGACTAAATTGCGATGGATATTAGTGATAGTTATTGAAAGGGTTGCTAAATAGCGACAAAATAGCTATGAATTTGTAATGAAAATTAGCAACTATAATTAGTGATGGAAATCTATTGCTATTTAACAATAAAAATAAAGGAGAATAGCGAGGGTTTTGCGAGAGATTTAAGCTTAAAATATAACTATTAACATTGATTTAGCAATAGAAATACTTCAAAATAGTGACGAGATATTCAATTACCGATTAACGATAGCCGGTATTTTCCTTTGCTAAAAATATAGCGATGATCAATATAGTGATAGAATAATTTAGTCACAAATGAATCGTTAAAAATTAATGGTCATGAAAAGACTAGTATAGAGATAAAAAATTCCATTGCTTATTTGATAGTTTTTTGTTTAGTAGTGTTTCTCAATATGAAGGATTTTAATAAATGTTATGGCCAAGTAGGAATGGATGATGTTGTTTTGAGGGCAATAAATACAATTGGTGTAATAATCAAGGTCTAGAGAGAAGATTTTTACAATGTTTAGATAGGGTGCTAGTGAATGCTAATTTTAAAGTAAAGCTTCTAGCTCTAATAGTAAATCATCTACTTAGAAA